GTGTGTTTAACACAGGGACGTTTGCCTGGCTGCCGCATCGCATCGGTGCTGGTGATGGGGGCACAAGTAGAGCTCATGCCTGGCCTTGCACAGGCCCAGTCACCCCTGCTCCCAGGGCCAAGAGGCCTGTCAGCAAATCCCAGCAAAGGCGAAGGTGCAGAGGAGAGGGCACGGATGGCCGCAGAGGCAGCTGAGCTGATCGTGATGCGAAGGGACAGGGTCCCCTGTTGTACAACCATGCCTCTCAGCTGGGTGGATCAGCCGCTTGTGCCATCGTTCATCACCAAAGGAGCTCAGGTGTTCTCCTGCGCGAGCCTGGCCGCCATGGGGAGGTTCACCTGGCTCAGCCCGATGTAGAGTGAGCGCCTTGAATGGCAGGAAAAAGAACATGGAAGAGAGCAACAGGCTTGAGATGGCTGCAGCCCACATCCTCCCTCCCGGCAGCTGGGGATGCGCAGCATGGTGACAGTGGAGCATCTGGAGACTGGTGCTGGGCATCACGTTTCTACTGCAATCCCACCATATATCACAACTGCAGTATTGTGCTCGTACTGCAGTTTCAGTACATTGCCATAGCACTCTGCTAAATCAAAATCCAATGTAACATCAAATGCCTACAGAAGAGTAAATTTGGTATGGAGCACCAAACCCTTATTTTATGGATTGTCTACAAGAACGCACTGAGAGGGTACCAAGCCCTGGCAGACACTGGGTTGAGGCAGGGGGGATGAGTGAGGGCACGGGTCAGGAGATCACGCTGGAGCCTGCGTGGCTGGAAGCGGGGTGCCCATGCCCACCCATTCCATGCACTGAGCAGAAGTCCCAGTGCTTTGCCCTGGGATGAGGACAGCTTTTCAACCTTGCTTTAAGCTGCAAGGCACCATCTCTAATCATGCTTAATCCCAACTGAAAGTGGGTCCCCAAAACCCACAAGCTCCTGGGTTACGTTTATGTGTTGTGCTGTGGAGCACGTGGTGGGTTCTTGTGCCCATGAGGCCAACAGAGCTGCTCCAGTCTCGGCTTTGGAGGAAACATGGGATGGAGCTGACCCGGTAGCAGCCGGGTGGCTGATGCTGGTGGTTGCTGCTCAGCAACTTCAGCATCTGCCCTGGTTGAACGCACCGGGCATGCTTTGTGTTCTGTGTCTGTGGGACAGATTCCCCTGGGGTCAAGGGAACTGAAATGTTCACTCACGTCCTCTCCCTCTCCACACCTCCCACAGCCTTGGAAACAAAGGCTGTCCCGTATTTCACATGCTGCTGTGAATGCTGAAACCTGGGGAGAAAAGTGACGAGGCTGGGAGAAGAAGATGGCCGATCGAGAGTCACAGATCACAAGGAACCCAAGTCCAGGTCTGCTTCTCGCCACGTTCCCCAGCATGAGGACTGGGAGCACATGCAGCTGGGAGGAGGATGGTTCAAAACTGGTGAGAGCACTCTCCACAGCATGCAGCAGGGGCACCCATGGGGCTGGCTGGCGGGGGGTAGCACCGGGTGGCTGCGACCCTGCAGGCGGTGGGCAGGGCTGTCGCATCTGCCTTATGGTCGTAGGTGCCGGGAGGGCACGAGGGGATGGGACCATGGCAAGCCCTGCGTGCACACCCAAGCAGCCTCGCCACCGTCGGGCAGGGATGGGCCAGCCAGACCCCAGCCTGGTCCCCCGAGCAGCCCTAGCGGGCTGTACTTGCCGAGGCTTCCCCACCACCCCGCAGAGGCAGAACATGAAAAGAAATTAAATTGAACTGACTTCCTCATCGTACATGTGTTCATACATGGGGAACACAAATTTGCAGATGTGCCCAGCTGTGGCAGTGCTGTCACTGCAAGACTGGGCACAGGACAAGTCTCTGGTAGAACTCCAGTGAAGTAATGTGACTGCGCTTGCTCAACACACTTTGCTGTTGATTTCAAAATGCAACAATCCTACATGTGAAATCCTTGCCTTTTATTCTGAAAATTCTAGTTGGGTGTTTTCTTTTGCTGTGTAGCAACCTTTCCAGAACTGCTCCCCGAGTGCTGGCTGCACAGGAGGATGGGAAAATGCCTGGTCTAGACGGTGAAGCTGTGATGGTGGCTTCCAACCAGAGAAGACTCCCCAGGATCCCCAAAGGGCTCAGTTCCCACCTGAGAAGCGCAGACCCCCTGATCTGGGCATGCTTGCGGCAGACTGGGGAGGAGCGCAGCAGCTGCAGGGGACTCCGGGGAAAGCTGCCCCTTCCAAGCAAGCTCCCAGAGGATGCAGGTAACACTGGGAAAGGGGCTCACTCACTCCTTAACCTTGGGAAGAAAACTGCAAGCCCACAGCCAAGCCCCCGCCCGCTGAAGAAAGCGAGGACCGGGCTGCTCCTGTGAAGGGCACGGCCGCCGGCTGCAGTGCTGTGCATTCCCCACGCAGCATCCTGCTGCAGACAGCTATGGGAATGCCCTCGACGAAACGGGAAAACATCCTTCTTGGCCTTTTCCACCCTTGCAGCAGGAAAGTGCTCGGGGATCACACTCAACATGCATACATTCAAAGCAGGCTTTCCGACAAGTTTTAAAGGTGTTAAATTCCTCCTGCCGCTGCGATGCAATGCGACAGCTGCCCTTCTCTTCTCCTTAAGGAAAGACTTGTCACTGGGGCTCGCTGCCCTCAAACTGGCCATGGTAAGCAGGCGTGCGGGGGCCATCCAGGGAGCACGCCTCACCCACTGTTTCACTAGCTGGAGCAGAAGCTTGTTGGGAAGGACTGGCAGGGAGAGACCCCCTTTACAGACGTGGGGCAGTTGCGGCAGGAGAGACGGAACCCCCGTGAAATGTGCTCATCCAGACCACTCCTGGCAGCTACAGGCTCGGCACCCTCCCTTTGCACTGACACGTGTCATTGCATGCCTGGGAAAAAAAGACCAACTGGGAAGGGCAGTTGAGGCTGGAACTGGTGGGGGGTTGCAGAATGTCCCAGCGTGAATTCCAGTTGGCCATCCACTTCAGAGCCATGCCCAGAATTAGTTATGGATAAAAAAGACAAGAGCGGGAGATGCCATGGGAGCCATGCAAGCCTTTTTTGCTTTTCTTTAGACACCTGAAGAACAGAAACGTCACACCTTGGCACCAATTCACTCAGATCTTTTAACGCATGCTTGGCAGCGAGCTGGCAGCAGCTCCCGTCGCAGCAGCAGGCCTGTGCCAAGCGAGCAATTACCTCTCCTCCCTTTCTGGCTACGGGCTGCGAGCTACAGTACGGAACTGCCCGGCCTCTTGCTGCCACCCCAGGAGCCAGGCTTCGAGGGCAAGCGCTGCACCAGCAGCTCCCTTATGGTACAACACTTGCTGGCTAGGAAAATACATGACAGTCCTGACGCTGCAAGTGTTTTCTGCACCGGGGCCACACAGCATCCATTGCCTGCTCCGTGCCGTGGCGACACGACGGCAGGACCCGCAGCCCCCCCGCAGTGCTGTGTGCTCTGCCATCTGCCTGGGGGCACCCCGTTTTCAAACAAAATGAGGACGACACATTCATTGCTTCTCTTTAATGGCCAGGTGCAGTTCCCTCTCCCCAGGCACCGCTGGCGCGCTGCCGCAGAGGTGATGAGGCACAGGACTGGTCCGGGAGGCTTCTCCAGAGGAAGGTAATGCCGAGTCCTGGCACCCTGCAGGAGCGGGGCTGTGGCCGTCACAGCAGCAGCTCATGGGGCATGGGCTCCCCTCGCAGCCCAGCCAGCAGGTTGTTGGCCGCCAGCACCGCCATGGTGCTCCTCGTGGTGTACGTGGCACTCCCGACATGTGGCAGAATCACTGCAGGGAAAAGGGAAGGTCACTGCCTCGTTTCTTACCTTGGCTGATCTCTTACAGCCTCCAGGGGTCTTTCCATGGCGGGGTAACCTGGGTCCCCCCCCAGCCGCCGCGCCACCCGGAGCTGACGTCAGATGTGGAGCATGAAACAAAATCATCAGCCACTGAGAACTGGAAAAGACATCTGATAAATAGCTAACTGAGCTAATTTTTAAGTCCTCCAGGCCAAAGACAGTCAGCCAAGAGCGGGTCCTCCTTTCTGCGTTCAGGCTTGCACTCACCCTCCTGCATGGACTCAGAGTTGGTGGCAGATATAAAACACCATCCCTGTGGCAGATGAGCACACGGTGACATTTGCATGCTGTTGCCTGACTGCCACACAGCTTTAGGAGGTCCTGCTCACCAGCAGGCGTGAACCAAGACATATATGGGGCAAGAGCCCGAAGGCTGTTGTGAAACATCATGATTTACAGACCCCTGGGTGCACTGGAAAGCCCCATGTGGAGGCAAACAGCCCCTGCTGAACAGAGCTGGCACGCTATAGCACAGTCTGCGCAGGGCTTTTTATCCACCTGTGCGAAAAGGCTCCTGCTTGAGCAGTAAATTATTACAACATTAGTAGTGGAGAGTACTTGCCCAAGGTATGGATAAAAGCCTGCACTGCCCTCTCTGCTTGCTGCGTAACAGAGAGCATCTACAGGCGGTGCAGAAGCCTGAACACCTGACACGGTGCTGCCTGGGGCAGGGAAGGCTCCCCCAAGGACTGCGGGGCCACGCAGCTCCTTTCTCCCCCAGTCGAGAACCAGCCTGGGTTTCTTGCTTGCTGTGAAAGTAATGTCAACACCTCTTCCTCCTCTACTTATATCACGTTCCTCCAGCTGCTGAAACTATTTGGCAGCTTTGGGTGAAATCTGTGAATAGTTTCAGAATCGTCAAAGCCTAATGTCTGTGAAAATAAATACATACTTATTTTTGTCTTGCTTGGTGTTGTTCCAGAGCTCTAAGATCTCTTAAGTCCTGCAAATATTTCCAGAGAGTCTCTGCTTTTATCATTTCTCACGCTATCTACTACGGGAACTAAAGCTAACAAATAAAAAATAGTTTTTAGCCAGAGGACAATCAAAGCAACAACTGTGAATTTGTATTTCAGAAATGGACGCTCAGTGATGGGCAGTTCCAAATTTTCATGGATGTCTCTGTTATTTCTTTTGGGAACAGACTTTTCCTACTCCAAAACCCTCCTCCCTGAAGGGAGGACATCCTGCTGCCGCCTGCACAACCACCCTGGTACTTTGCCCACGCAAGTGAAGATGCACACACCAGCCCTCACGCTTGGAGTGCCGAGGCACCCGACCCCACGAGGGGAAGCTGCTCTGGACCGGCTCCGCCATCAGCTCTCAGCAGGGGCAGCCACCGCGGCGAGGCCAAGCGTTCAGGTGGGCACAGACACCCTGCCATCGCACCAGCAACAGCGTCGCAGACAATCATCACCAATGCTTGCTTTCTAACTAGAAATGATGCCTTCTCCGTGTTGCATTTCTGTCTCTTTTCAGCCTCCAGGGATACAAGTGAGCCTGTCTGGCTTGTGTCCGAGTGAAGTCTTGCTCAGTAACTGGCCTGACCCATACGCTCCCTGTCTGGAGGAGAGGAAAGCTCCTGCCCCCCCTTTACAGGGGACGGACCAAGTGGCTCGCTGCAGGCCACGCTAGGGAAGGCAGTGACCACACCAGGCAGCTGTCCCTAACTCATCCCAGGCTGCTGGTCAGCCGGTGATGCCTCTGGTGAGGATGGAGCTGCACTGGTGCGTGGCAAGGCCACGGCAAACAGTCCCCCGGCACAGCCCCTTCAGTCTGCAACAATAAGGCTCCCAGGAAAACACTGAAGGCTGCCGTCCTGCACCAAAACATCATCCTGCTCCATGTGGCAGCTGTCAGCAAGCGTTCGGGAAATCACCGGTGAAACTAACAGTGGTCAGCTACAGCCGCTCCTGCCTCCACTCCAGCAGCCTGGCGAAGCTGTAGCACCCCTTCCTAACCAGCCTTCCTCACCTGACCTAACCTCCTCCTCCTCCGACGTGCACTAGTCCTGGGACCAGCACGTTCCTACTTGCCTGATACCCGTTACTATCCAGAACACAGGCTGCCTGAGCTGGCTGGGCTCCACTTTCCCAATGACAGTTGCTTTGGGCTGTCCAGGGGATGCAGCTAGATCATCTGCAAGGAAACCCGTGCTCATCCCATAGCGTGAGCACTTGCTGGCCCCTTCAGCCCAGGGCTGTCTAATTTGCTGACATCTGCTGATGAACATGGATGTCAGGACAAGGCCAGCACTTAAATGAACAGTGCTTCTGAGCACGCGTGCTGAACCCGCGCCTGGCAGCTCAGGCTCACAGTGGATGGGCCAGCTGTGAGTCCTGCAGCAGCTGCAGCGCTCCCGCGGCTGAGATTCCTCTAGGCAGACTCAGCACCCAGCTTTTTAGCCACATGGGAAGCTTCTCTAGCAGAATGTATGCCCAGGAGCTTACCGAATACCAGAGCTTGGCAGGGCACGAGCAGGGATTTGGTTTCTCATTCAGCACTTGCTGCTATCAGACTCCTCCATCCATGAATTTCGTGCCATGCCTCAGCCCACTGAATGGAGATCCCTCAGGAAGGTGTTAAAAAACGAGCCGATCTCAGCTGCTTCCTGGAGAACTAAAATACCTCCCACGCTTGTTTTACACCACGTCGATGAGGTCTTCTCCTCCAGCAGCTCCCCACATTGTATGGTGGCTGCCTACAGTCTGTTTAAGTACACTTGACCTTCCTGCTCTTCCACGTTTCAGTGCTTGTTTGCACTGGCAGGCTCATGGGGATGGGGAATCCTTGTCACACCAGCTAGTGTGTCCCCAGCCATGGGCACAGGAGGCACCCAAAGCGCAGGCTGCAAGAGCGGAGCGGGTGCCTGGTTGCCCAGCTGGCCACTTACCGCAGTTCTTCAGGGAGAGCAGGGGGTGGTCAGTGGGCAGCGGCTCCGGTGTCGTCACATCCAGGCCTGCCGCTGCGATCCGGCCATGGGCCAGCGCGTCGTACAGGTCCTCCTGGTTCACCACGTCCCCCCTGGCAAACACAGAGAGGCCTGCACTGCTGCTGAGGGGTCCCGTGGGCTCCCAGGGGCGTGTGGTCGGGGCACAGGCCACGTGGGACAGCCTGGGTGGCAGCACCTGGGTCCCCAGGGCTGCCTGAGCAGAGGTCAGACCCTCTCTGGATGCGCCTGAACCTCCAGCGCAACGATCTGCTCCTGCTCCTGCTCCTGCTCCAGGCTGCCCGCCAGTGGGGAGAAGAGCCGGGTGCCCGAGTGCAGGATGACCCCAGGGCAGACACGCAGGGAGGCACAGGCACCCCGAGGCGTCCTGGGTGGATGCCACATGTTGGGCCGCACAGGTTCTGCCCTGCCACCGCGCTCCGCAAGAAGGCAGTAGGAACGGGAGGCTACCGCCGGACTCAGCCAAGGAGCCCTGCCACAGCCACATCTGTCCCAAGAGCAAGGCTTCTGGCAGCTGCAGCCCTCTCCCGGGCAATCCCTCAGCCTCAACCTCCCATCACCCAACCGTCACCCATCTGTCCACCTCACCAGGGTGGGACATGGGGCCCTGGGGAGGAGACAGAGGCTGTAGCCCCCTGAATAACTTATTCTGCCTTTGGCTTGATCGCAAGAGAACTTGGGCTGGAGGGAGCAGGCCACACGCTGGGCAAACGGTCCTGGTGGCCGCAGCCATGGAGGCTGTACACGCTGCCTGGACCCCCAGTGGAAGCACACCTCACAGCCTACCAGATCCGCCCTGCAACCACAGCTGTCGGCAGTGGGACAGTCACCTCCCCGTTCAGGAGACCGGGGTGCGATTACCTGCTCGTGTTGACGAATACAGAGGTCTTCTTCATTCTGCTGAAGAAGTCCTTGTTGCACATTCCCTGGGTGGCCGGAGTCAAAGCACACGTCACCACAACGAAGTCTGACTCTTCGGCCAGCCTCGTGAGTGAGACTGAGTGGAGAAACACAGGTCACAGCTCTGCCTGGGGACCTCACCAACACACCTCAGCAACCCTCCTATCCGTAAGGTTCGCCAGCAAGCAACTGCTGCTCTGGAGAGACCTGGCCAACCCTTCTCCACAAAGAGGGAGACACAAGGACTGGCAAACACCCAACAGAAACCATGCACATTCCTACCGATACTACTGCAGTGTTTCATTTCACTTTTGAATTAAAATCAAGCCAAAGGGGAATCTAGCGATGCTTCAGCCATCTGGCCCAAAGGAGGCTCTCGTATTTCACGTTTAGACAGCAAAATATGCCAGCAGCAGTTTATACTAGCATTAAAGCTCTCTATATGGTACCTACACATAGTGACTTGTGCCACTTTTACTCCTGGAGGTGACAGGGGAAGCGCAAGGAGCTGGACAAGTTCTGCCAGTGACTTTGTGCAAAAAAGTTCCAAATGGAAATGTGCTGGCTTTGGAGTGAAAAATTAGCACTTGATGCAAGTCCTGGGACTCGAACAGGGCCACAGAAAAGTCCCGTTCAGCAGCTAAGAGACATTCCCAAGCTTGGCTAGACTGTTTTACAGCCATTTTAAAGCAGGACATTAAAGCTGATGTTTGTTTCCAGCTACAAACATCTACTCTTAGTGAAGATCTGCTGTCAGCCTCAGCCTATCCCCTCCTCCCTGCAATACGTCTCGGTACCCATCCCCTGGGGGATGGTCCAGAAGACCCTTCCCCTCCTCCCAGGGGCAGCCGCCACTTTTCTCTCCCTGTCCATTATGTTCCACTTCCCTGTGGGAATGAAACTAACTGGAAATGACAGACGGATGGACACAAGGGGAAGAGAAAGGCAAATGCAGCAGAAACAGCCACAGTCCACAATTATGGTGGGCAGTCAGTAAAGACCCCAGGCCTGTCCAGGTCTTCTGGCTGGAACTGCCTGGCTCAAAGGAGGCTGCTTTCCCTCCCTGCCATCCACCACTGCCGCATGGGAAGTGTTTGGGATTTACCGTTCCCTCCCCACAGCAGCTCATGCCAGCTACACCCAGGAGCTGCCCTGAAACCGACGACCGACTGCAGCTCCTGCTCCTGGCGCCTTTCTTACCGAACTCAGCTTCAAACTCTGCAGCGCTTTCTGGTTTGGGGCGATTGCCAGTGTACAAAAACTTCTTAACCCCAAACGGCTTTAGGCGGTGGGCAACTGCCTGTCCTAGGAACGAGAGAGAAGACTGACCAGCCGCTGCGCCAGCACGAGGCACACTGCACAGAGACCAAGGCTGGGCCGTGGGGGTCCGTCAGGCCTCTCCATGCGGTCCGTCCTTTGGCGGTCTCGCACTCGGTGCGGCTGACAGCGCAGCAGCCAGCAGAGCACACAGCTCGCTGAAGGGTCGCTGCGGTGGGATCGCTCCTGCCAGGCTGCTTCCAAGCCTGGGGCGTAGCGGGCAGGGGGTTGCGGGTGGATGACTTCTGC